AGTCATATTTTTAATATCTAGGTAATATTTGAGATGATAATATTAGTTTTTTTTAAAAATTATTTTTATATCAACACATAAACTATTTAAAATAATAAAAAAAAATATTAATTTTAAATTAAAATTTTCAAATACTTTTTAAATATAAAAATAAATTTACCCCACTACAAAACCATTACCAACAAAAAACCATCCATGGCACAAAAATCAACCTAAACTGACGGAACCCATCTCCTTTATCTCTCTCATTTTAATAGGCCAACAATCACTTTTCTTGAGAAGGTTGTGGACGGTATTTTAAAAAAATTTAATTTTTTTATTAAAAATTAGTTTTATTATTAATTTTAAATTGTTTTAATATTCTAATTTTAAAAATAAAAAAATATTATTTTAATATATTTTAAAATATAAAACACTTTAAAAAATAATTATATTCTCAGACAACCTCTAATTTTTATAATGTCAATTTCTTTTCTGATGATGACCCCTGACAAGTTAGCCTATCTTGTGCCTAAAAAAAACCTTCATTATTTTTAATATATAAAATATTTTAAAAAACAACCACGATCACGATCTCTTTACAATGTAAATTTCTTTTCTGATAGTAACCCCTGACAAGTTAGCCTCTCTTGTGCCTAAAAAAAACTTTCAATAGTAATAAATCACCTAAAAAAAGGAAAGAAGAAAAGGATTTTGAAAAGGACAATAAAGGTAATAACTGAAGAGGCTTGTGGAAGTTTGATTTTGGCAAGATTATTTGTCTAATTTTATATATTAAGCATTTTCTTTATTTAAGAATCAAGCTAGGGATGATAAGTTCCCATCACTCGCAAGTTGAAAGATAACGAACGGAAGTGGTAAATACATGACTTTATTTTCAGAACAATAATGGCTTTTTTTTTCTTTTCTTTTTTTTGTATTTGACTATGGACATGTGGGGAGGGTGTCCATGACAACACACTTCTAATCTACTTCTTTGACAATTCAATCAAACCATATCACTATTGGCAGACTCACATTCAGGGTGAAAACATTTAACTTTTTTTTCTTATAAATAATCTATAAATATTATTTTAAACTTTCATTTGTAAACATTATTTAATGATTATGCATTTATATTTTCCAATATGTGTGAATGCTCGCCTAGGTGGTTTTAGGTTTTGGAATATATTTCCCTTATCATCATGAATGGATCTAAGCTCATTTAATCATCACCATCATTTCAGTTAAGGGAGATGGTTTTTTAAATTAAATTCATTAGAAGAACACCCAAAAAAAGAAGTTAAATTAGAGAGTATTGGAGTTTTTGGTGAATTAAAAGAAAGAATACAAGTCTTTTAAGGGTTTTGTGCCTCAAGAGAGAGGTGGAATCTTGATAGAGGAAGAGACAAATAACAGCCATTTGCCCGTATTTACAAGCAATACTATTCATATATTTTTGTTCAGTAACTATATATACATATCCTAACAGGGTTTTACATGTTCTCATAGCTGAACTCATGACATTTTAGCAAGGCTTCATAGTTATGCACAACTATCTAGCAGCAAGAGCTTAGGTAAACTTATACAGGTTTCCAAACCGTAATAACCTCTTGAAACTATTGACATTTTAGTAAGGCTTCATAGTTATGCACAACTATCTAGCAGCAAGGGCTTAGGTAAACTTATACCGGATTTTCTTTCATTAAATTCATTAGAAAACACCCAAAAAAAGAAGTTAAATTAGAGAGTATTGGAGTTTTTGGTGAATTAAAAGAAAGAATACAAGTCTTTTAAGGGTTTTGTGCCTCAAGAGAGAGGTGGAATCTTGATAGAGGAAGAGACAAATAACAGCCATTTGCCCGTATTTACAAGCAATACTATTCATATATTTTTGTTCAGTAACTATATATACATATCCTAACAGGGTTTTACATGTTCTCATAGCTGAACTCATGACATTTTAGCAAGGCTTCATAGTTATGCACAACTATCTAGCAGCAAGAGCTTAGGTAAACTTATACAGGTTTCCAAACCGTAATAACCTCTTGAAACTATTGACATTTTAGTAAGGCTTCATAGTTATGCACAACTATCTAGCAGCAAGGGCTTAGGTAAACTTATACCGGTTTCCAAACCGTAATAACCTCTTGAAACATTTCTACCATCAATTCCCTGTCGGCCTGCCTTAAAAAGTTGCTGATCTCATCTCTAACATCATATATTTTTCCAAAGTCAAACAAGTAAATCATACATCCTTTCTTCAACTTGTTCAACTGGTAAAGCCAGGCCTCTTGCAGCCTCTCAAGGACATTCATGGTATTAATATCTTCCAAGAGGCTTTCTTCACAAGCATCCTTGAGGGCTGCAATATCATATTTGTTTGCTGCCCCCAGCAGTGATACACGGTGCTTCCAAAAATCCTCTTGCTTGATGGTTCCATACAAGTAACTCAAGAGAGTCATGCAAGATTCCAGTGTCATATCTTCTATGTAGATTGTGGAGGACTCTTTTTCCTTGAGGTTGTGATGGAACATGCTCTGGAAAACAGGCGAACTAGCAGAAAGAATTGCCTTGTGAGCACTGAGAGTTCCCTCAGCAGTATGGATGGTAACGTCAGCATGGATGGCCTCATCCAGCATGCGAGAGAGACATTGAAGTGTGCCTTGAGTTGAAACAGACTGCATCATTCCATCACTTGGCCATGAGGAACCGGGCTCCCCACCCTGAGTTGATGACAGGGAAAATATAGATGTTTAAACCTTAGGTAGAAGAAATATGACAGTGGCTCAACAATAACCACACTATTAAGAAATATCCACATGCAAGATCTTATCAGCATGTGCTTGCAATAAATTATGCACGTTGAAATGTGTTTTTGTCTAAGTTTCTTCCTAGGTTGTGCTTGAAGGGAAAATCAATCATGACTACAATTGTCCACTACAGTCTGGCTTTGGGTTCTAAATGAAAAATCAAAAGAAAACTATCCACTATTACTTGTTTTAAACTAAAAACATTATTCCACAATCAACATCTTGGCTTCTCCAAAAACATAGTCTAGAGGAGCTCACATTCAGAGGGCAGATTTTGAGGTCTAGAAACTCAACATCAATGATGAGGCGACCATGAAACGAAGAATCAACAGGCCAGACAAAGTCCTCACTTGTCCTGAGCGATCTCTCTTGAACTGCAGCATGAAACAATTCAGTGTCACAAGAATCTTTTTATTATAAGTACTTCACTCATATCAACAACTAGGTGCTTTCCAAAATGAAAAAAAGTTTACTAATCTCCATCAGGATGCACTTTCACATCATTGTGCAAAGCAGGCGCGACAAACTTGTTTATTACAGGACAGTTGTTTTCAGATTGAGAAAGCATGTAGAATCTGCCTGACACTATCTCTATGTAATCCACATAGGTGAATAAAAGAGAATCCAAACCACATAAATTGCATCCAATTAGCTAGAGTGATGCCAATATGCACTTGGCGATGGGCTCGTGGTTATCACATTTTCTAATTTCAATTTTGTTCATGTTCAATTAGACATCTCTTGATGAGATGGTTAGGCCTTGGACAGGTAAGTTTATCATTACCCGCATCAGTATATCGATGAGGAGATTCCAACTTCCTCTGTATACAAGGACGAGCGTACAAGCAAGACTTCTGGTAACGAACCCATGGTGGTAAGAGAATAATAATAATCAAAGAAAAATAAAAACAGAGGAAAAAGTTAGACCCTTCGTCTGGAAATGGAAAAACCTTATACATGGACCCAATTGAAATAACAGACCCATTTTCAGAAGATTATTGAGTAAAACAGAATATGACGAATATGCACGAAGTATACTACATGAACCTCCCTCGATACAGTTTGCAGAATACAGTGGAAGTTTGTTAAGGAATCAGAGCCAATTTTAAAAAAAGAAACCTTTGCAAACAGTTCCATACTCTTCATACCAATTTTACACAACCAAGAGATACAATAGTTTTTTTTTTTCATATGCTTACACAAGATGTGATGAAATAAAGAAAAGAAAAGGATAGAGAGAGGGAGAGAGATACGAAGGCATACCTGGAGAGATAAGGGGCCTGCGATTATTAGCACTAGCATTTGAGACGCGGAGAACAAATCTAGCGATAGGAGGCTGTTCTTTGGCAGCTCGAGACGGCTCTGGAAATAAACGAATGCACATGTACCGATTCTTCTCTATTGACAAGTACCTTGCAAAAGAAAAACAAATCAACTAAAGCCATAAATAAAATCTGCGCGTGTTTGTAGATACTATAAATTGATACTCACCAGTTCCAGATTCCGACCTTGAAAGGATCGGATTTTTTGTAAGAGGAAGGGCCAAAGTTGTCGATCCTCCACTGGGCTAGTCGGGAGATTGTCTCTACCTTTGAATCCGCCATTTCGCTCTTGGTTCCTTTTTCTGCGTGGACGTTCCTGTTAGTGGGATTTCTGCTTTGAAAGAGAGACGACAATAGATAGGAAGAATAGACTTGCTGTTTAAGCTTTTTTGGACGACATGTTTTTTTTGCTTTTGCGAAGGACCTGTCCCCTTCGCGGACGTGTATGCTAACCTATAAAGGATTTCCCCCTTTTTTTTTTAATTTTCTTATATATATATATATATATTATTTTGTTGGAGGCTTAACGTGATGATTCGGTATGCCAACTGAGTCAGTTGAAGATGAATACGGATCCCGTGTAAAATTATATATTGTTTTTTTTAATATTTAATTGTAAAATTATAATTTTTTTTTTTAAATACGGATCCCGTCTTTATGAATTTGAAGATAGAAATACCAATTGATTTTATTCTTTTTTTTTTTAATTTAAGTTCTAATAGTTTGTATAATAAGCATTAATCTTGCCCAAGTTAAGAAGGACTGAAGTATATTATGAAAAGAGCGTTGAATAGTAAGTGTTCTTTAAACAGTAAAAATTAGAATTTATTAAACATCAAATTTATTTTCTTTTATTACCAGATATTTTTTAAATAATATTTTTTTAGTTTTAATTAGTTATTTGGCAAGAGTTTTGTTGTGGGTTGCATATTTTTTTAGAAAAAAAATTGAATACACAGATTTGATGTGATTTTTAATATAAAACAATTAAGAATTAATTGTGTATATAAATGAAAAAAAAAGTCATCACAATAATTTTTGGAGAAAAACCTTTGGAAGCAAGAAATTAGATTAAAAAGGACAAAAAAAAATCATTTTAATATAGTTTGATAGATATGTAATCTAGATGATAAGTGACGAGCAAACTCTAGTTAACTTGTAAAATTTATAATTCAGGTCATAAGATTAAGATAATTCAATAAAAAAAAATTAAAGAAAGCCACAAAGTTAATTTTAAAAAAAAAGTGCCAAACAATAAAATAAAATAAAAAAGCTAAAAAAAGGCATCAACTCCTATTAATTATTGAAACTTGTGACATAAATTATTAGGTCGGAAACACCATATAAAAAAAAATATAAAGTCTAATCACGACTAAATCAAACACTAAAAAAAAATCAATAAAAAAATCAATTAACAAAAGTAGTCAAGATAAAAAAAAAAATGGTAAGTAAAAAAATGAGGGTGAAACCAAAATAAAAAATAAATTAGATAGCAATCCAAAAATTTTTACTGGTGGGTTAAATTAAAAAAAAAAATAACTTTAACAAAAAAATAAAAATTAAAAGAATGAGTACTAAATTGAAAAAAAATGCACCATAAACTTGAATTGAATAATAAAATTAAAAACTAATAAGACTTTTAGAAAAAAACTAAAAAAAAATAAAAAAAAGATTGAATTGAAAAAAATAAAACATGAAAAATTAGAAATGAAGAAATAAATTAAAAACAAATAAAATTTTCATAAAAACATTAATAAACAAAATTTAAAAAAAATAAAGATTAAAATATAAATACAAAGAATAAAAATGACAAAGAAAAAACTATAGCGCATATGATGATAATTAACATGTGCAGCCCTAGAAGAAAAAGGATGCATTGGTATTTCTAAGTGATACTTCTAATAACACGATGTAAGAGAGTTTGGCAATTAGAAAGTGTTGTAGCCGTCATTTAAATAGGATGGACACTTTTTATATACTGGCACATGTATAACATGTGACATCTATTTTTTTAATTTTAAAATTAATTAATTAACTTAAAATATCAAATCCATGTTTTATTTATTTAGATTTTAAGGGTAAATGTATCTTTTTATTATATTTAAAAATTAAAAATACTTAAATACCATAGCTTAATAGCTTAGGAGAACTGCTCTAAAGGACACAAAGGTTATTTTTGTGCAAAATGGGAAAAAAAAGAAAAAAAGAAAAAAAGAGGACATGTATATCGTTTCTAATAAGTCAACTAAAAAGACCAAAAGCTCCTCTAACGACAACCTTCATTATTTTCTTCTCTGTGAAAGGCGCGGTGGTCATACAATACAGCAATGTATGATGAATTAAATATGTGTCCACAGTATTTGTTATATCGTTTTTTTCACATCTTTTAATATTTTTGTTAAAAAAACAAATAGATAAATAAAATTAAATAAAAAAACACCAAACCGAGAATTTTAAGTTTTCACTCTGCCAGAAAAAATATACCAAAAAAAAAAGAAGAGCTGCCAGAAAAATATGGATGACCTTTTGTATCAAATTCGATGATGATAATGATGAGTCACAGCCAGAGTAGAAGCAGCTGCCATTGGCTGCAAGCTGCATTTCTTAATCAAATCTGGTACCTGTCGGTTTCCGTCGACATATTTTCTTCACAAAACTATGGCCGACATTTTATAAAGAACTCTTAGATTGACGTGCGCAGAGGACAGTGAGGTAGACTGTCACTCGCACGCCCTTGCTTTAAACTCCGTTTGTGAACGAGGTTGTGTTTATGTTTTGTTTAAAATATAATAATATTTTATTTAGTAAAAAATATATAATTTATTATTTATGTATCTTATGATTTTTTTGTGTTTAAAATGTAGAAAAAATAATAATTAATTATTGCTTTATACAAGCTCTTGATGTTGATTA